AAAAAAAAACGATTCGTCCTGGGCTTCTTCTACCTCGGGTTATATCTGCAGCTCCTGCTTGGTGCCCTCGTCGCCGTGCCTCCAGTCCCCTCTGGTGGCCGTCCTTGTCGCCGGTCTTCGTCCTCGTCGCCGGCTCGCGGCCCTCGCCCTCGGTCGCCGGTCGCCGTCCTTGTTGCTGCCAGGTCGCCGTCCTTGCCCCCGATTGCTGATTTCCGTCCTTGTTGCCGTCCTTGTTGCTCCCGGTCGTCGGTCGCCGTCCTCGTCGCCACCGTTGTTCGCCCGGCTCTCCTGATTGAAGCTTTTTTGTCATTACCGCTTGAAGCTTTTTCTCCTGGCGGTTGAAACTTTTTCATTGCCGTTTGAAGCATTTTGACCATTGAAGCTTTTTTCCGCGGTGGAAGATTTTTCCTCATGCCACTCTTGAAACTTTTCCTCTAGCTGAATGAAGCTTTTTCACAGACGGTTGAAGCATTTTCTTCCTTGGTGGAAGCTAGACACTTGACTAGTTCCAGCAAAAAAAGATGCCGGATGTAGTAAAATATGTTGGTCCAGTAAAAAACAGATGCCGTTGTAGCAAAAAATTGACACGGTTGTAGCTTTTCTCTCAATGGTTGAAGCTTTTCCCCTCTATGCTGGAAGCTTTTCTGTAAATGATTGAAACTTTTTTCGTTTTGAGCAGTGTCTGGGTGAAATCACAGAGACGCCATGGCCGTCGTCAAAGAAGATTTGTCAATCTCTGGTTGAAGCTTTTTCAACTGCGAGTTGAAGCTTTTTATCAAACGGTTGTAACTTTTCCTGTATTTTGTTGTCTGGTTGAAACTTTTTTATCCACTGGATGTAGCTTTTTGTGTCCATGGTTGTAGCACGGGAAAACGCCGTTTGCAACTCTCTCAGTACCGCGGTTGCAGCTCCTCCCCGTGGCCATGGTTGTAGCACAGGCACCTCGGTCCTCCCCGGCGTTTTGAGGAGGAGAAAGGAAGTGTGGGACAAGGAAGAAGGGGGTGGGGGAACACGAGCGGGGCTGCAACCATGGCCGGCGGGGACTTCGATCTTCCAAGCTACATCCATGGCCGACGGCGAGCTGCTCGCGTGCTGCAACGGGGGAGGCAAGAGATGCATGCGTTGTGGGGCGAGATTCGCATAAGGTTGAAGAAAATAGAGATGATAGCGTTTGGTAGCCCCCGTGTCTACGTGTCGCTTGATGGATGACTGAAGCGAAGCGCGCGTGGACACGACCGGCCCAAAGTTTGGCCGGCACACCGCGCCCAATTGTTTCCCTTTCTTCTTTGGCTGAGATTACAGGGCGGTTAGAGTTAATAACCACGAATGAATGAACTTTGTCACAACAGCTACACTGAGACTACCATGCAATATTCCCATCCATCCCCATGTGCTGGTGCATGGTGGATACCTATATTGCTGCTGCCTATCTCCCTAGCGTCAACTTTCACCTCTTTTTCTACCTTTCGCCCGACTGAATCATAATAACCATGTGCTATGTCTCAATCCAGTCTTACACAACATATTAGAGCAAGAACCAAAGTAGTCAGGGATAGTATCAAGTGAGACCGGCAGCCCCGATCGCCGCTGTTGGCATAGACCATCCCAAGGCTACCATACCCGTTGCCTCCGCTTCCGCCGCCGCCACCGCCGGTCGCCGATCCGGCGTAGTTGAACCCGACGTACGCGGAGGCTTCGCCATTGTCCCTGAACGAAGAAACACACGTTATGATATAAGATGCCACCGCAAAACCAGCAACGATCGCTTACACATGCGCCGGAGAGAAGCGGGGAGTAACGCACTTTTGAGCATTGGTTTCGAGTCTAGATCTACCAGACCGCACACTGGAATAAGAACTCGATTCCGGGGAACACGGTACGGGACGGCTAAAAGGCCACGGGTTTTGGTTTTTCTAATCGAGAAACGCTACCAGTGCCAGTGGGACGAACCCTACGTTCTCTCATCGCCTGTCCCCGTTCCAAAGGAGGGGAAGGTCCCGAACGGAGGACACTAGCTAGATCCAAACGCTCATTTTTTTTTTTTTTTGAAATTCACACCGTTCCTATTTATTCATAAAAGGCAGGAATCTCTGCCGATAGGATGTGCAAGATACAATCAGGCGGTTGGTGTAGCCAGACCTTACATAAGTCATTAGAAACCCCATTCTCTAGCTAGCGCGTGTGCTGCACCATTCGCCGAGCGGCGAACCCAGGTAATCTTTCACTGCTCCCGCGCCTGCAACATTATTTTCACCTCTTCTACTACTGGTCCCAGCACGGACAAGTCCTTCTCCCTGTTCTGAAGCTTGCTAGCTATCTCTTTGCTATCTGTCTCAATATGCAGGCGATTGGCATTAAACTCATCTGCCAATTGAACTGCGCGTCGACAAGCATGCAGTTCACTAGCCGCAGGATCCGGGCACCCAGGCAAGACATGGCATGCGCCTCCAAGGAAAGCCCCTTCATGATTCCTGAATACAACCACTAGTAGAAAAGGGGGCTTTGGTCCAGGCCGGGTAAGCCCATTAGTCCTGGTTCAGTCCAGAACCGGGACCAATGGGTGCATTTATCCCGGTTCGTGCGGCTAAGGCATTAGTCCCGGTTCACCTGGGCCCTTTAGTCCCGGTTCGTGCCACGAACCAGGACTAAAGGGTGCGATGCCCATTGGTCCCGATTGGTGGCACCAATCGGTACTAAAGGTTAGACTTTTAGTCCCGGTTGGTGCCACCAACCGGGATTAATGGGCTTTGAGGCATTAGTACCGGTTCATGGCACGAACCGGTACTAAAGGTCCCATTTTCAAACTCCCCCCTGGACCGCCTTTTCAGTTTTAGAAAAAACAAAAGAAAATGATGGAAATGTCAATAAAAATAAAATAAAATAAAATAAGTTTCCCATGTGATATGTGGTCTAGTTGTTAGGAAAATTTACAAATATGAATTTCGACTTTATTTACAAAATCTCTCTGGAATTTGTAAAATGGGCATAACTTTTGCATACGAACTCGGATTAAAAAGTTTTTTATATGAAAAATCATCTACTCGAAAAGTTACATCCGATGGAGACCGCCTATGGCCTGTTTGCAAATTTGTAGAATCCTCAAATTCCAAAAGGAAAAAAAGTTATGCTCAAATTTCAGTTTTTTTAAATTTTCAGTAAATCTGGTCAAACTACTTATTCTAGAAGTATTAGTGTTACTAAATAATTATTCAAGAGTATTAGTGTTATTAAATAATTATTTCACCTTTTTTGAATTTTGGTCAAATCTGGTCAAACTATGGTCAAACTGTGGTCAAACTGTGGTCAAACTACTTATTCAAGAAATATTAGTGTTACTAAAAAATTATTGTTTTTTAGAACGATAGTTTTAAACTCAAACAGTGAAATATGTGACTTCATGCTTAAGCTAAATTCCTGAGGGTTAATAGGATTGACATCTTACTATTGTCAGGAAAACAACAAGTGCAGACTTGGAAACGAGGGAGAATAGAACCCAGAAGTTAAGCGTGCTCAGGCTGGAGTAGTGAGAGGATGGGTGACCGTTCGAGAAGTTAGATGATGAGGGGTGATTAGAGATTAAATTGAGCAGTGATGAGGGGTGATTAGAGATTAAATTGAGCAGTGATAAGGGGTGATTAGAGATTAGAGGTTAAAATAATTTAGAAATTTGAAAATAAAAAAAATTCAAAAAAAAATCAGAAAATTTCCTTTAGTACCGGTTGGTGTTACCAACCGGGACTAAAGGTGGACCGGCCACGTGGAGGGCCATTAGTCCCGGTTCCAGAACCGGGACTAAAGGCCTTTTTTCTACCAATGAACACCGGCTCCTCCTTTTGATCCCACTTTGGACGTAGCACCATCCACGTTTACTTTGATCCAGCCCAACTCTGGAGGTACCCATTTCTGCACTGAAGTAGGTTCCGGCCTCCTGCTCATACTTCCGTTCATAGCCTGCCATTGTTCCATCACCTTGATTACAGTGCGTGTTATATCTCCAGCCTCCTCAATCTTCCTTCCATCCCTTGAGTTATTCCTAGCGAGCCAGAGCCCATATACTCCTTGAAGCATGACCGCTTTCTCGTCATCCGACGCATCCGCAAACCAAGCTAGCAGCCAGTTAGATAAATCATCCTGAGAGCTAACTGTAACCAGCGGGATCGCCACTGGAACTCCCAATTCCGAGTGAAGAATTTTCCAAAACTTGGCTGAGTGGTAGCAGTCCCAGAAACGATGGTAGTTCGTTTCTTCCCTGCCACAAGCAACGCAAACCACGCCTGCCTTGATGTTTCTCCTCTGGAGCTCGGACCCAACAGCAAGTCCGTTCCTAATCAGCCGCCGGGTATGCGTTTTGACCTTCCCAAGCGCGATCGAGTCCCACAGATCCAAACGCTCAATTAACTCCCGCTACCAGCTTAGAACAATTGTAGAGTTTCAAAAGGAAAAAGCTAGAATGCACAACTCTTTTCTAGTAGTGACCTAAAACGTCTTATATTTCTTTATAGAAGGAGTATCATTTTGAGCAAAATTGAAGTGGTGGGACGCAAGATTCCGAGACAAAAGACAGAGGGACCGCTACCGTGCTACTACTATACTCCCTCCATTCCACGATGTAGTGCTTTCTTTATCCTCGTGCTTTAATTTTGACCTTAAATTTAACTATCAAGACCGATTGTGGTGGGAGCAAAAATTATATCAGTGAATTTGTATTCGAAAGAAGTTTTCAATTATATAATTTTTTCTCCCGCCGCAGTTGGTTTCGTTGGTTAAATTTATGGTCAAAGTTGGACCTCGGGAAGCGCATGCGCACTATATTTTAGAATGGAGGGAGTACTCGGTAGCACAGTAGCCAGTAGTAGCACAGACGTTCCTTTTTGTCTTGGTGCAAGAAAAGAACACGCCCACTATTTCTCTTGGTTTGACGATGGAGCGTCCAGGCCGCGGATGGCAGAGCCACCACAGTCTGGATGATGGCGCTCTCATGCACGGCCGAATTTTTCTTGCTTCGACCCATGCGAGTGCCATGGATTTGTCTACACTTGTACCCTGTAGTGGTCTGCATCTTCTAATGAGGACTCGCAGTTTAACTCTGTACTACCTACTCCAGTATAGTTAGCACGGCGTACGCGATGCTTTTAAACAGAGTGAGTACCTTGAGGCGGAGGCCCGGGTTAATTCTTAATTTTAAAATAAATCGACGCCCGCGTCTCTGCCAAATCCTGAATCGCCGACATGGTTCGGCCAACGTAGTACGCACATGTACTACGGCATTATGGCCGGGCGGCGGCGCGGTCCTCGCGTGTGCATTCGCACGGCCAGGGACGAAATGATTTCTGCGTGCAGGAGGGGAAACAAACAGCACAGGACAGAAACGGTGTTTCCCGCCGAGCTGAGTAGAGTAGACCAAAATTTGATTCCAGGCGCGGGAACGGGCGACTCGGGGCCGGGGTGCAGTGCAGGGTGTCCGGCACGCACTCCACTCCGGCGACCGGTGTCCGTTGGAGGAAGGCAAATGCGTACTACTGTATGTATAAATGTATAAAAAAGAAGAAGACAAAACAAAAGGCAAAAAAGCTGGGGAACAAAGGTGTTCACGTGGGACCCGCCAGCCGCGATCGATCGCAGTCCAGTTTTATCGCATGGTACGAGACATTTCAGCCCCTCGGCCCACCCACGTAGTAGACCGCAAGCAAGCCAAGGGAAGGGAAAGCGTAGTAGTACCTTGGCCCGCCGAGGACGCCGGCGCCGATGGTGAGCTGGTCGACGAGCGCCGACGACTTGGGGTCGACGCCGCTGGAGGCCTTGTCGTAGATGTTCTCCATCCCTTCCCCGGAGGGCACGAAGAAGGCGCCGTTCACCATCATGTCCCCCTCCGTCCGCCAGTTCCACCCGTTCCACTGCCCCTCCTCCGTGTCCACGCGCTTCGTCACCTGTAGCCCAACCAAAAAGCACGATCATTCATTCACATTATCTGCTGGCCGTGACCTCGGCGGTTGCCTCAACCGGGCCGGGGAGCCTCGGATGCCGCCCCTGCCTCCGGCTGGCTGGACCCAAATCGAAGAAGCCACCTTTTTTGTAAAAAAAAGGAGATTCTCCTACTACTACTATCAACACGAAAGAGAGAGATGGGGTGGTACTATGCACATTCATCGATCAGTGAGTGGTACCATTTCGCAGGACCATCACTACAAACCTCATGTACTAACTAGCAAAATAACCGCAGAAATTAACATGGTTTTTAACAAAAAAAAACCGGACCACTTTCTAGCGGAGAACACGTACGGGAAGAAAAACGGGACATGAAAGAACAGGACAATGGTCACGGCACTTCTTTGGCAACCACCGCGGGGTACCACCGCCCAAAACAGAGCAAAGATCCAAACGAGGCGTTGAAAGCAGAAGAACTCGGCAAGCAAAGAAAGGAACAGAGCAAAAAAACCATGAGCAAACAAACCGAGACGGCACGGCAAGAGAAAAGAGGCGCGCACCTCCTTGGCGTTGGGGTTTGCGGGGGCGATGTAGCGGTTGCCCTGGCTGTTGATGGTGGGGCTGGCGCTGCCGCCGATGGCGTACATCTCCCACGCCGTGTAGTCGTTGTTGACGATGTGGAAGTATCCCCGGCGGCAGCGCGGCATCCGCTGCACCAGCTGCACGCCGAAGTGGTTGAACGCGATGGTCACCTGCATCCCCGAGTCCGGGAGGTACCCGTCGCTGTGCCCCAGCAGCATCACCTCGTCGTGGTGGGAGAAGTAGCTGTTGGACACGGTGATGCCCGTCGACCCCATGATGGCGTCCACCAGCCCGTCCGCGCACCGCGACAGCGCGCAGTGGTCCACCCACACGTCCCGCGCCGAGAAGAGCGAGATGCCGTCGCCGTCCGACCGCGTCCGCCACCCGTAGTGCGTCGGCGACGACCGCACGTTCGCGTTCCCCGCCGGCACGCAGTCGTGCACGTGCAGGTTGTGGATGATCACGTTGGACACGTACTGCAGCGTGATGCACGCGCCGCCGGCCACGTGCACGTTCGCGCCGCGCCCGTCGATGGTCTTGCAGCTGTTCACCAGCAGCTCCTCGTTGAGGCGGATGGTCATGTCCGCGGCGAACACGATCCACAGGGGGCCCTCCTGGATGGCGGCGTGCCGGAGCGTACCGGGCGCCGGGTTCACGGGGTCGCGGTCCGAGGAGTCGGTCACCACGTAGAACGGACCGCCCTTGCCGCCCAGCGCGTTGCGCCCGAACCCGATGCCGCAGTCCGCCAGCCGCTGCCGGTCCTTCCACCAGTCTGTCCCGGCGCACCGCCAGCAGTCGTCGATCGGGTTGCCAGTCATGCACCCGCCGCCTCCGCCCGTCTCCTGCATCCGCCGCCGCGACGTCGTCACCTTGCTGCCCATGCCAACGCCAACACGCCGCCGTTACGTTGCGAAAGAAGCGCGTAAAAAAAGATTGCGAATTTGCAGCCTCAAAAGTTTGCCCTGCCGCATTGCGAGATTTCGAGGATAAGGTAGTACCTGTGGAAGTCGGCGACGACAGCGGCGGGGTCCGGGAGCGAGGAGTTGAGCAGGGGGAGGGCGGAGGCCGCAGCCCCGAGCAACAGGAAGGGGAGGAGCAAGATGATGAGGGTGGATTTGGGGGCTCCTGCCATGGTTGTTCCTTGGCTGGATTAGAGGGGTCGGAGTGGAGATGCAGTTGATTTTATAGCAATGCGGGAGCGTGGCGGCAGGCAGCAGAGCGAGCGAGGCAATGGGGGCGGGGAGGCTGAAGTTCTTGACATTTGGAGCTTGGGATTGGGGCAGCAATGGCCAATGGGGGGAGCGGGGGAGTGGTGTGAACGGGGAAGGGGAGAGAGAGAGAGAGAGAGAGAGAGAGAGAGAGGAGGGAAGAGGAGACGGGAGGGTAGAGGGAGGTGATTTGGAATCTCCTGGGGCAGATTTCTTCCTTGCTTGTTAAATGATGGCAGAAGGGGAATGTTTGGGAGAGGATAGAAATGCAAAAATGTGAGAGGAAGGGAAGGGAAATAGGCGGTGCAACAAAGAAGTGCAATCGGATCATGGCGAAACATTTACCCAAATAAGTGCCACATATGTGACACAAGGTAACCCCGCTCTCATGTTTTTTACAACTAAAATTGCCATAAAAAATCCCTAAAAACTGAAACATATCATTCAAATAGAAAATTGTCATGCTTCATAACTAAAGTTGTCATCCTCAGATAACTAAACCTGTCATCAAAGAAAGTTAGAACGGAATTGCTTCGTGCCACACTTGTGACACTTATCAGGGTCCAGCATTTATGCCATTCTTTTTGCGGAGAGAAATATTTTATGCCATTAATTTGTTAAACAGTCGCACAATCATCTTGGGTTAGAATTTTTATTTTTATTTTTGATGGTACATTGGGATGAATTGTGATTGCCCAGTTTCCCTAATGGGCAGGTGAATGGAAATTCATAAAAGAATCCCATGTTCAGTTTACTCATCAAAGGTAAAATCATCGTTGTTGAAATAATCTGGCTGGGGCGGCATCCTAAACACGCCATCAAACTCTAAATCTTACACCCCCGCTTGACGTCAACCACGAGCCTAGAACATCATCCACGTCTTCCAGCTACCGTTGAGGCAAACCACCATCTGCATCTGCTCTTCCACTGCCTCCCGAGCTTCGCGCCTGCGTTGGATCTAATGTCGTCGCAACGGTGGAGTCCGAGGACACAAGTCCATTACATTGATGTCGGCGCCACCATCACACCATCTCCATTAGAACAGACAACCATCTAGACCCATTGTTGACCATATATAAAGAAGAACACCGCGTCAGGGAAAGATCTGAAGTACTTTTTATTCACCGCCGCCTCCGCCTTCGTCAGAGCCAAGGCATAGGCCCTAATCTAAAAGTTATACGGATCCACACTTGTGGGACTCGGTGACCCTCCTCACCATCGTCGACTGAGAAAAGGTCGTCATCGAACGGGGGCCACCACATGCCAGTGCCAAAAGGCTGCTCGCACTAGGCGAGATTCGTATCGCCTTTCCTTTTTAACACATGAGAAAGAAAAGAGACAACTTCATGTAAAATTAAGTTTTATTTGGGAAGCCAAAATGTATCGATTCAATTGACAACTAAAATTCATTCTTTAAGACGTAAAAGACGTAAATGACAGATAAATTATGGTAATTATAGGTAAAATATATGTGCCTCGTTACAGCATGGACAATTATTTAATAATAACAAAAAGCTAGCACTCCCTTCATCTCAAAATAAATATCTTAATTTTATACAAACTTTAGTAATAAAAACTTATTTTGAGACAGAAGAAGTACTATATAGGACAGCATAGACACCTACTATGTACTCTCGGGCAATTAAGAGCACCGTTAACTAGCGTGTAGAAGTTAACTACTCTCGGCAATTAAGAGCTTGCTTGCCGCCGTAATTGTCCCAAGACCAGGGTTACAGCCGCCACAAGACATTCTTGTCCCGTGCCACAACGGGATGCCCTCGATAGGTCGTTGTCCAAAGGCACATCACATATCACCATCATCTTGTAAGTGCCAAAAGCGACCATCTCAAGTCAATCCTGCATCATATATCCACTACATGTACAATGCGGACCGGCCAACAATCGGCGGCGCATAAGCTACAAATCCTTTGCTTCCGTAGATTCATTCATTGACCCTCGGAACAAGACATCCATGCGATTACATAACGTGGTGCTTTTTCTTCAGGGCCGTCTTCAGAAATTTGGGGGCCCGGGATGAAAATCAAAATAGGGCTTTAAATATCCAAAAAGTTATTAATGTAAGTAAAGCAAATTTTTACTTAATTATATAACTTCGAATATGTGTTATTTCATATAATATTTATATAATATATCATATACAAACTCTTTTCAGCACCGCAATCATACCTCATTCTAGGATACATGATTGATGATTCTTCCTGTTTTATGAAACATACACAAGTAACATGAATCAACTTACACTATGAATAAGACTTTATAGCTAATAAAATAAAATAAGACTTTATTTTGATGTAAGATTTTGATTGTTTTAACAAAGTAACATGCACTAGCAAAATAAAATCAAGCCTTCTATGAACAACTTAGAGCAACTCTAGTAGACCCCGCATCCCGCGCCGACCCGTAAAATAACCGCCAAAATGCGGGTCGGGGCGGAAAAACCAGCCAGATCAGACCCCGCAGCCCGCCCCGGCCCGCAAAAAATTTTAGGGGGCGCAGCAAAATCCCTTCAGAACATTGCTCTACCACAATGCGGAATCCCTTCAGAACATCTTCAAAAAACTGCTTGAAAGTGCGATAAGTCGACTAGAGGGGGGTGAATAGGCGATTTTTATGAATTCTTCACTGAGGAATTTCAGCGAGAGGAAATTTCTAAGTGAAGAACTACGTGCAGCGGAATAAGTACTTAGATGTAAACATAACAGAACATAAGCATGGGCTTCATGATGAAATGAAAACAAGCACAGAGTACAGAAAGCGTAATGTTAGATAATAATGAGATAAACGAGACACAAGAGCACACAGATTTTTACGTGGAAACCCTTGCGGGAGAAAACCACGGACGCACGAAGGCGCAATCACTATGAGGAGGAGTATTACAAGCACGAGACGACAGACCGTCTAAGGTGCGACTACATGGGGTATATAAGAGGGCAATACATGAGAGTCCTTGGAGGACAAGTAAACGAGTTGTACTCATACGCGTCGACGTCAACGCAAAGGCCCACACCGGTTGTACTACGTCTAGTCCAACACGGTATAATTTGGATCACATTTAACAATCTCCACCTTGATCCAAATTTCCTCCAGTAGTCGAAGAAAGTGAATAACTCCATCCAAATCAGCATAAACACCTTGTGCGTCAAAGTCAAAGACTAGTGAGAAATACCAACTAAGCCTGAGCAAAGCTCAAACTTATTGGTCGGAACTGGCTTTGTCATTATATCAGCAGGATTATCATGAGTACTTATCTTGCATACCTTGAGATTGCCTTCAGCAACAACATCTCGAATATAATAAAATCTGACATCAATGTGCTTTGTCCTCTCATGATACATTGGATTCTTTGTAAGATATATAGCACTTTGACTGTCACTAAATACGGTAGGGCAAGATGAATCTCCACAAAGCTCAGAATACAAACCCCTCAACCAGATAGCTTCTTTGCATGCCTCAGAAATAGCCATATACTCGGCATCAGTAGTGGAACAAGCCACAATAGACTGCAAAATTGCTCTCCAACTCACAGCACAACCACCAATGGTGAAAACATAACCTGTAAGTGATCTTCTCTTATCCAAATCACCAGCAAAATCAGAATCAACAAAACCAACAAGTCCATCTCCAGTTTTCCCAAACTGTAAATAAGCATTAGAAGTACCTCGCAGGTATCTGAAAATCCACTGAACTGCTTTTCAATGCTCTTTTCTAGGATTAGCCATGTATCTACTGACAACACTCAATGCATAAGATAAATCCGGACGAGAACAAACCATGGCATACATAAGTGAACCAACTGCACTCGAATAGGGAACTCTAGACATGTACTCAATATCTGCATCTGACTTAGGACATAAAGCTGATGATAATTTGAAGTGTGCAGCTAACGGAGTACTTACTGGCTTGGCATTATGCATATTAAAACGACGAAGAACTTTATCAATATATCCCTTCTGACTTAGATATACTTTTCCAGATGGTCTATCTCTGGATATTTTCATGCAAAGTATTTTCTTTGCTGCACCCAAATCCTTCATCTCAAATTCATTACTCAATTGCTTCTTTAGTTCATTAATATCTGACATACTATTTGCGGCAATAAGCATATCATCAACATAAAGGAGCAAATAAATAGTTGAACCTTTGATAGTTTTCAAATAAACACAACTATCATAATTAGACCTTTTGAAACCTTGAGAGAGCATAAAGGTGTCAAATCTCTTGTACCACTGTCTAGGGGATTGCTTCAATCCATACAGAGATTTCTTTAACTTACAGACAAGCTTTTCTTTTCTAGGAATAACAAAACCTTCAGGTTGTTCCATATAAATATCCTCTTCTAATTCTCCATGTAAGAATGCAGTTTTAACATCCAATTGCTCAAGCTCAAGATCATGCATGGCAACAATACTAAGTAAAGTGTGAATAGAGTTATGCTTCACAACAGGAGAAAAGACTTCATTATAGTCAATACCTGGAATCTGGCTATAACCTTTAGCAACTAACCTTGCTTTATATCTTGTCTCATCATTAGGAGAAACACCTTCTTTCCTCTTGAAAACCCACTTGCAACGAATAGGTTTCTTCTCTCTAGGTAATCTTACTAAATCCCAAGTGCCATTCTTTTCAAGTGATTTAATCTCATCATGCATAGCGGTCATCCACTTATTACTATCACCAGAAATAATAGCCTCAGAATATGAAGAAGGCTCAGAATTACCTTCAATTTCCTCTGCAACAGATAAAGCAAAATAAACATATTGCACTCTTCAATTAACCTGCCAGGTTTATTAATACCCTGCCTAACTCTGTCATGTGCAAGATTCCAACTGGGCGGAACAATAGGATGATTTGGAGTGGGAGTGACATGGTCATCATTAACGACGGGTTCATCATGTGCATCAAT